GATTCAATAATTTGCTAAAGAGATTCCCAGGACTCAGGGAAACACATACTTACTGGTTTGCAATAAAGGATAGTCATCCCAGAACCTCCACATCTTCAGCAGCCAGAAGCTCTTGCAACACCACAGTCCAGGCATTATGGAGGCATCAACATACAAGCATTATTGTGTGATGATAGATTCAATCTCCAGTCCCTCTTCCCCTCCCAGAGAATGAGGAGAGAGGCTGAAAGTTCCAAGCTTCTAATCATGACTTGGTCTTTCTGGTACCCAGCCCCCATTCAGGAGCCCATCCAGAGGAAATAAAAGCAGTATGGTGGTGTACACCTGTCATCCAGACTGGCTTAGGAGACATCATTCAAAAAATAGCTAGAGCAAAGAGGGCTGGGGTGTGGCTCAGGTGATAGAACGCCTGCCTAGCAAGCACAAAGCCCTAGGTTCAAACCCCAGTGCTGCAAAAAAAAAAAAAAAAGCGTTATGGTTTTTTATGTTGTTCAGGAGAAGGGACTGTGCAGTTGTTAACTTTAGGAATCATTAAGTCTGGTATGGTTGTCTGAAGTTTAGGAGTAACTAGTAAAAGGTAGAAATGGCATATACAGTTTCCAAACCAAGTCAGTAGAGAAATAAAGGAAATCATCAATTTTTTTAAAGGGTCTTGTTATATAGCTTGGACTGACCTTGAACTTAGGATTTGTGATCCTCCCTTCTTAGTTTTCCAAATGCTAGTATTACAGGTGTATGCCTCCATACCCAGAGGAAACTATCAATTTGCTAGAAAATTGGAGAGAGTGGACAGAAAGCTGAGGGAAAGAGTAAAGAAGAAACTTTTATTTATTTTTTTTTTCATTTTTCTTTTATTATTCATATGTGCATACAAGGCTTGGTTTATTTCTCCCCCCTGCCCCCACCCCCTCCCTTACCACCCACTCCACCCCCTCCCGCTCCCCCCCTCAATACCCAGCAGAAACTATTTTGCCCTTATCTCTAATTTTGTTGTAGAGAGAGTAAGAAGAAACTTTTAATAGAGAGTACAATGTCTAAATATATTAGTAACAACAGTGAATGCAAACCACGTAACTCTACCAATTAAAAGACAAAAAGAGCACTGAATTAAAAATAAAAAACTATTGTCTGTTACTTAAAAGAGACCAGAAAAATGAAAGTAGGGTGATGCTGAGGAAACAGTAGCAAAAGTAAAGGTGCCCTAGTTATTTGACATCAGATAATGTCAACTTTAGGGCAAAGGCATTATTAGGAATAAAGAACAACAGTAGGTAACAATAAAAGATAATCCTCTAGGAAAATATAATTCTAAAACGCTTACATGAAATGAGGTGGTATAAAAATATGTAAAACAAAATTGACAGAATTATAAGGAGAACCTAACAAAACTACAGTCATAGCAGGAGATTTTAACAAACATCTTCCAATAGTTAGTAACCATATAGGTGATTTTAATAGCGCAATTAACAAGTTTCACTTAATAGACATATATAGAACCATGCAGCCCTCAAATTAGAGAAACCACATTCTTTTCAGGAATATATGAAATGTTAATAAGAATTGACAATGTACTAGGCCACAAAGCAAATCTCAAATTCTATAAAGTCAGTATTACACCTTTTTGTTCCATATTGCAATGTAATTAAAAATCAGTAACAAAAGGGTAACTTTAAAAGTTATATTTAGAAAGTGAAAAGTATAAAACAAAAAATCATAATGGAAATACTGTATATCAGAAAAATCTGATGTTATTAGAATGACTGCATTATTACTGGCTGTGTTGGCCAGTACTCTTTAAGACACTACAGTATGTCAGAACTACAGGGTAAAGGTAAAGTAAGAGTTAGAAGTAAAAAAGATTAGCTTTACATACTTACTAAAAAAGAAAGATCAATAAGCTAAGTATTCACTTCAAGTCGTCAGGGAAAAGATAGAGTAAATCTAAAGAAGCAGAAGGAAGAAAATAATGAAAAAAAAGAGAAGAGCTTAGTGAAATAGGAAATAAAGAATATTAAAAAAAAAAAAACAGTGTTCATTCCTTGAAAGACCTAATAAAGTAGACAAACGTGTATTGGATGAACCAAAAAGAAAAGAAAAGGTATAAACAAGTAATATTTGAAATGATAAAGGAGATACTATGGAAAATTTATGCCAGTATATTTGAAAACTTAAAATGCAAAATTTTCCTGAAAGGACCAAGAATAGCTGAGAAAATTTTGAAGGAGAAGGGCAGGGTTGAAGAGGAGAGACATTAAATTTATGAGATTTTAAGATCATTATAAAACTGTAGTAACTAAAGTACTAGACAACTCAATCAGTGATACATAATGTTGATCTTAAAAAGAGATGCAAATATATACAGAAATTTTACATTTGACTAACCTAGGTGGGCAGGGGGAAGGATGGGCTGTTCATTAAATGGTACTTGAGAAATTGGCCATCCTTATGAATAAAAGATGAAAATAATACCCATCTCACAACATTCCAAAAACAAGTTCTAAGTAGATTAAAGAATCAAATATGAAAAAAAACCTGAAAATTTTTACTTCAAAATATAGGAAAATATCTTTATTAATTTGTGTAGAAATAATTTATAAATAAGAAAGGAAAATCAAAAATCATAAAGAAAAAAGATTAAATATTTCAGCTCGGTATATTGACTTCCAACAGATTGGCATTCTGCAAATCAATTGGAAGGATAATAGAAAAATAGACAATTTACAGAAGAGATGGAGAATGATTCTAGAGAAAAAACATTCCATTTCTTCTAACAAAAAAGTGAAAAATGAAAATCACACTAATCTGTAATTTCTTACTCATTTGTCTGACTTTACCAAGTGTTGCTGAGAACGAGGAGCCATGCATTGAGTGTAATTGTTTTATAATTACTTTGGTGAATAATTTGGTAAGACGTAGGGAAGTTGAAAGTGATTTATCCATACCACTCTATCTAATCCTAGCCATGAGTATACTTCTACCCCCGTATACATGTGTGTATTTATATTTACATTATATATGCTTTGCATTTTCTTTTAAGAAACCTCAGCCCAAAACACAAAATGAAACTTGTTTTTAATGGCAACAGTCTAAATGCCCCTCAGCAGGAAGCTGGTAAATACATCTTGAAATATCCATACATGAAAATACCTTATGTAATTTATCTGTCTATTGAGGTATTTCATCCTGCTTTAATGTCTGTGATAGAAGTTAAATTGTTCAACAAAAACTGTTGTTTTTCTTCTCCTGGGTGTCTCTCCTGTACCTGCAGCCGGATTGCTTTTTTTGGCCTACTTAACCCTGTGAGTATAGGTAAGGCCGCGTGACTTGCCTTGACCAATGAAATGTGAGTGAAGTGACATAAGTTACTTGAAGTGGGGCATGCATTTTAAAAACTTGTGTCCAGCTCATTCTCTTCCCATTGCTGCAGTGATTGGAGAAACATGTCAGTGTAAAGCCTCTATCACTGGGATCACTGAGTGATACAATGAGCAGAAGCCACCTGGCTGAGTGAATATAAAATGAGGGTGGAAAATAAATAACATCATGTTAGGCACTGAGGGGCTAGAGGGCTGTCTGTTCCTGCAACATCACCTACCTGGAGTGTTGTCTGATATCTCAGTGCAATTAACTGTGCATCTTGTGCCACTTCTTTACATCCTCTCTTCCAAATTACAGAATATTCTCTTTTCCAGGAGATAAAGGTACCAGGGCTTAAACTCAAAGATAGCCCTTCCCTTCTGTTTTGTTCCACAGTTAAGGGAAACGTCTCTGTGAGCCTCCTTTCTGCCAGGAAACTGTCCTCACAGGCACTTTCATCTGTTTTACCTGTTGCTTTGGAGTTAAGCTTCATAGTCAAAGGATTCATCATCAGAAAACCTATGCCCCCTTACTCCTCCTTTCTCTCCCTTCCACATCTGTGGGTGGCCTTCCTCCTCTGAAGAGAGCAAAGCAATTAGTGAAGGATGTCAGATGAAGGCTTAATTACATGCTTGTCTAACTTGGAAAACAAATACATTGCTTAGAAATATATGTAAGATTATTTTCCACATCATTATAAAGTTAGAAGTATGGAGGTGGTATTCCTCTCCATCTTACTTTTCCAGAGTATAATATACTGAAAAGTATAGCAGGTTAATGTAGATTCTGGTTAAATAATTTAAATGTTTAGAGAAAATTGTAGATTTTGGTTGAATAATGTAAATACATAGAACAAGCCCTGGGGACTTAAAATGCTCATATCTTTTATTACTCTCTTCTCAGTGTCTAGACAATCTCCATCATATTGAGCAGCCATCATTTTGAGGAAGCTCTTGACTTATAAGTGAGCAGGTTGATACGGACTTGAAGTATAGAGACTCAGAATCAAAACACAGCTGTTTTTTCAAGTTATAGCAGTTCATAAACAAAGAGCATATGTGTTTCAGTGCACAGAATAGTAAGCAGACAAAAAAGGAAATGAACTGTAGCTGAGGCCAACTGTATATTCTGAAAAAAAGATTGGTACCATGTCCTGGATCACTTTCCTGTTTTATAAAGTCTAAAATTCTGAATTCATAAATTTTCCACTCGTCATATGTGAATGGCTATAGCTCATTAATGTCAATTGCTGGGCCAGGGTTTAGCTCAGTGGTAGAGCTGCTTAACTTGTAAGAGACTCTGCACTGGATCCCAGCACCACACACACACACACCCCTTAATTGTTGCATAGTTTCTCACTGTAGTGATAGTCCAGAATGCTTACACAGTTTGTATTTTATGGTTTATCATGTTTCTTTATAATAAAATACTTTAGGATTCATTGGTACATATGGTTTGATTTGTTCCACCCTTAGGTTAAAAAATTGTCATGGAAAGCTCATATCTTGAGATAATCGAGCTGTTCTAGTTTCCCTTTTATTGTTGATTTGAAATAGTAATTAATTAATTTTGTTCTGAGCATGGTATTTGGATTTATTTAGCTTCTCTTATTCTGATGCCAAGTCTTGTATTTGGATTCACAGTTCCCATGGAGAATGTTGCAACAATTGCTGACTGTGCCAGTGTGATTGAGGGAGTCAGTCGAAGCCGAAATGCCTTGCTGAATGGGGACACCAAGAATTATGATTGGGATTCTGGCTACACATGTCACCAGCTAGGAAGTGGTGCAATTGTGGTTCAGCTGGCACAGCCATACATGATTGGGTCAATACGGTAAGACTTCTTTGCATTCATTAGTTTGTAATGAAAATTATATTTTGGTAAGTAAAAAAAAAAATTTCAGTGTTCTTTGCTCTAAATATTGAGAAGGGAGCAAGGGGGGCAGGCAGTGAGGTACGAGGTGCTCATTTGGGTTTTCTAGTGGAAAATGCACCAGAATTACACTTGGCTGGGGAATAGATAAGAGGCTAACCTCTTAAAGTCTCAGTTTGTAATGATTAGAGACTTTCAGGATGATGTTAAGAGAGATTGTGTGGATGAGAAATCATTTTCAACTTTAATAAATGACTTTATGTGTGAATCAGACAGTCCCAAATATGAAACCTGGTTCAAGAAAGTTTTCCAATGGCCTTTGTTTCTGAGTTTTTAAGATTATTGTTCAATTTTGTTTTAAGAAAGGAACTTTAACTTTGCTTGATTTTTAGGGTTAGATAATTTTTAAGTGTGAGACTGGTAACATCCCTTACAAGGTATAATTTTATTTCACAAGTGCCATCTGGGTCTCAAGAAGGATACCGTTTGCTCTCTTTGCCCTCCTCTCCTCCTATAGCTCCTAAGAAGCTTCTAAAGAGGCCTCTGAAGGGCTCATTTAAAATATGTTTGGCTGCTGTAGAGGTATTGGCAGGATGTGACTGCCTTCCCCATTATGCTGTACCACATTTGTTTTATTCATTCCTATTTCCATTTTAAATTTTTTTTAATTATTTAATTAGTTTTGGTGGTACTTGGGATTGAACACAGGGCCTCAGGCTTGCTTCATGAGCATTCTACCACTTGAGCCATGTTCTCATTGTAAAGATTTATAGACAGCTAACACAAAGAGTAAGACAGTAGGATATGATAGGAACAGGTTTTTTGGTGTTCAGACTAATAAGCACAGAGACTAATGCTGCTTGCTAGTTCCCCAGACACCTTAGGGAGAGGGAGTTGATGCTGGGTTTCTTCATGATTTCAAACTGTTAAATTTCTTCATTTAAATTTACCCTTTTTCATCAAGGGTCACATCACAGGCTGAGTACCACAGGCAATAAATCAGAGATGGAGAAGCCTAGTGTTCAGACTGCAGGCTAGATGAACTCACCTGGTGTTTAGGAAGGGGGAAGAGACCAGTCACAGCCAGTCTCCACAAGCTACCAGTACAAATAAACCTCTGTCAAATCACAAACAACATTTTCCTTCCTTTTTCTCAGCTGCATGCATCGACTAAAGTACTCATCAGCCATCTATTTAATAAGCTATTCTAGAATTTTTGTTATAGATGATGTGAAATGTATCTGTATATTCCTATTATAATCTATCTCTTTTCAGTTTAAAAATCTGGAAAACAGTTGTCCTTCTTTTGTCTTCCTGCACTCCTTATAGTCCCTACAATTTCTTGAAGATTACCAATCGTGTCTCTGAGATTACATCTGCAATTTCTTTCAGCAGGCTTAGGGTGTAACTCATCTAAGCCAGGAGACTTGAAATCATTTAAATTGACTAGATACTGTTTTTCGCTCACTTCACCTATTTGGGACTTCAATTTTCTCTTTATTATGTTTGTTCTGCCATTTCTAATTTGAAGACCAGTCTTCTTGCCAATGAAGATTGAAGCAAATAGGCAGCTTAGTAGCTCTACCCACTCTCTATTAATGTTCTCTGGATTCCATTCACTGACCTGGTACTCCATGTCCCTCGCCCCACTCTAACACTGTTCCATGCACATTAATATAATAATTAATAATTCCATTATCCCTCTTCTTCCCACTCAAATTTTCTCATGCTAAGAATCCCCATCTTATTCAGTGGCCTGAGCCAAAAATATGAGGCCCTTTCTAAATTCCCTCCTCTCCTTCCCCTCTCCCTCGATACCCTGAGGTCAACTCTGAAGTTCTGGTAGTACTGCCTCCTAGACACCTCATAAACTTATCACTCTCTTCCATCCCAGCCATTATTCTCCCTGTCCGTGCCTTTGAAGCTCCACCTCTCAAAAGCTGGGGTGTGGCTCAGGTGGTAGAGCATCTGCCACTTGCCTAACAAGCATAAAACCCTAAGTTCTGACTGCAGTACCCACCAAAAATAAAAAAGGCAGAGTTAGCCCAAGTACTTCCCCGCATAACCTGACCTTCAGACCTTCTCTTCCCCAACCCATCCCTCACTTGGCCACACCCTCCCTAAGAGGAGTCTTGGCTACTGTTTGCCTTTAAGCAGAAAGTTCAGACTGAAGCATGTAACACTCTAACTTACCACCCATCCCTACCTGGGCTGCATCTCAGCCTATCCAGCTAGTTGGTTTTGCACATGCCCTCTTACCCCTGTGCCTTCAAATCTTTGATCATGCTGTTCTCATTGCTTGCACTGCTTGCTACCTTCTCATTACTCTCTTTATATTTAGATCGTTCTTATTCCGCCTTCCAGGCTCCAGACTTTGGGAATGCTTCACTAGCCTTTCATCATCTCCTGGGCTTACTGAGACACTTTCTTCAACCACCCCAACATTTTATAGAGAACTCTGGTCACAGCATTTGTCTATAATTGTTTACTCGTTGACTCCTCCCAACCTCACCTGGTATATAAAGCTAGTGGCAATTCAGAATAAGTTTTCCTTTACAGGCCAAATGTGCCAATGAGGTAGTCTCTCAAAGCAGAAGGGGGGGGAATTATAGCAGCTAGAGTAGGAAATCTACAATTTTAGATCCAACAGGGACCTCCTGAAGTTGTTGCCAGGGTGACAACTCAAATGGATAGAAACACACAGACCACCTTGGCTACTAGCTCTACCAAAGAATCAGAAATGTTGAATTTGACTGCAGAGAAATGTGTCTTTGGGCTTCAGAAAAGAGACAACAGGCACACTTGCTTTTCTTTAAATATGGAATGAAAATGGTTCCCCCAAACAATTTTTCTTTTTCTGACTTAGGAAATGATGAGCAGGCACACAGCTAAAGGCAGGATTGTGTATCACAGCACAGTATGAAGCCTCCAACTTCTGTAAGCCCAGCTATTGTTTTTTTCAGTAAGAAAATCCATGCATCTGAAGCTCTGTATAACTAGCTGAGTGTTCAGAGAGACACGTCTCTGTGAAACTAACATTATGTTGTCAGGAACTGCATTTGCCTCTTCTGTGACATTATTAAGAGGAAAGAGGGAGTGATTTCCTAGCCAACCAATGCCTGTGGCTGATGCTGGATATCTTGGCAGGCTGTGGTTAGCAGCAGCTGATGTGTCTAGATAGACATTTATTGATATGAAACTAGATCAGTGGCACCTCTTCATGGGGATGGGTAATTGACCAATGACAGGTTGATTAGTCAGTGACATTTGACCCACAGCTTCTGTTGCTTGTGATGACTGACTTACTTTCCTAGTCACTGTATCTGCAGCAGCCCAGTGATTCAGAATCAACACCTACAGGGCAAGCATTACCAAGCCAATGCTCACTCTCCCCAGCTAGCCAGGCTGAGAGCTGGAAATCTAGAAATTCTCTCCTACCCCATTAAGGTGGGATGTGACATGGTACTTAGGCAGTAAAAATTTAGGTTTCTTTGGAGTCAATGACTTCCCAGGTAGAAATCTCAAGAATGAATTATCTTGATCATTGTGTTCTTTATTCCTAAAAGAGAACATCATTGTTTTATGGATTCAATTTATTTTGTTTTACTTTTTTCATCTACAGAAACCATTTCTTCCTTTCCTGATAGCTTGCCCAGTGTCTGGGTAGGCAAGCAGAACTTTTTTCCTGGCAGAAAGTACTTGGACCAAGCCATGGTCAACAGGAGCCCAATCCCCCTAATGTGTCTGGTACCAATACCCTGTGGCATCCTGGAGAGGATAGCTTTAAATAACATCTCTAAACATCTCTCTGTCCCTTTGTTTCTTTCACTTACCCCATAAACATTTACTAAGCTTTTTACTCTGTGCCAGGTAGTGTTGTAGACAGTGGGGGTGCAGCATTGAAAAATAAACATTGGTGGTCTCATGGAACTGACATTCTAGTATGGGTGAGGACATAAATAGTAGACACTTTTGCAGTATGTGAGATATTTGAGGTGCTGTAGGAAAATGAGGGAAGAAGATGAGGGACAGTGCTGTTTTAGGATGGGTGGTCAGAGAAGGTTCACAGGAAAGGGTGACAAGTGAGCAGAGTTGAAGGGTGGGAAGAGCAAGTCTCCTGAGGACCCAGGGGTGAGCACCACAGACAGAGTACCAAGGCATCTGGTGCACTGCAGGAAGAGGAGAGACAGGGATAGAAGGCCCACATGCCTTTAGAAATCACCTTCTCTACTCCTGGCCTAACTTGCTCCAGCCAGTTCCTGGAAAAGCAAGAGCAAGAGGCCTCTAGTTCTTAGCATTTAACAAGAAATTCTCTCCCCCATCTTTTGTATCTATTTCTCTTTCCTAAGGCAGTGTAACTGGAAAATAAGGAATTTGTCTTTGTTGCTACGTTTGTAGACACAACAAAAATTTATTCATTTTATTTTAGAGAAAATGAGAAATTACCTGGAATGTTCCTTAAAAGTGGGTAATTGAGTAGTAATTATATCAGTCCCATGCCATTGTAAAAAACATTTAAAGTTTAAATAACAAGAACTCTTCAGAGGCCTGACCACATCTACCTAATGTCTTAATTTATAGTTCCTCTGTTGCCTTAGTTTAAGGCTTATTATCTTTCTACTTGCTAGTCTGATAGTCCTGTTATAAGTGTTTTTCAGACTACTATGAGAAATCAAATACGCTATGCATTAAGTACACCTATTGCCCACTCTTTTTCAGCTAATAAATGAGAGCACTTTGTTGAAACTCTAATTATAAGATAGTCAGTTAAATTAACAGTTTTTCCATTAGCTTGAAAATAATGGTTTTGTAATTGATATGTGCAACAGTGTAAGTAAAATACTCATGATGCCTTCAGAAACAAACCTAATTGTAAGTAAACAGGCTGCCCAGAACTCTGATGGTGCCAGTGGAGGCAGCCAAATAAACCAGAGTCTCTGTAGACGTTAGGAGGATTAAGG